ATGGGGATAGCAACGCTAAGACTTTCACATTCCGTGAGCTAGCCAGTGCAACAAAGAACTTTCGGCAAGAATGCCTAATAGGAGAAGGTGGATTTGGAAGAGTGTTTAAGGGAACGCTTCAAGGCGGAGAGGTAAAATGACCCTGGAGTTTGTTCCTCATCTGTTATTCTACTTTTATGCATCTCCACATATTTTTTTCAAGGACGAGACTTCACTTTTCATATCTAAATAGGTTGTGGCAGTAAAGCAACTAGACAGAACTGGAACACAAGGAAACAAGGAGTTTCAAGTTGAAGTCTTAATGCTAACTCTCCTTAACCATCCAAATCTGGTCAATCTCATTGGATATTGTGCTGATGGAGATCAGAGGATTTTAGTCTATGAATACATGCCAATGGGCTGTCTTGCTGATCATCTAATGGGTAAACACCTTACCTTGCTTCATGCTTTCTCAAATGTTCTTGCTTCTGTACTGATTGCATTATGTTACACTCCAGACATTAAGGAGGATCAAAAGCCATTAGATTGGCAAAACAGAATGAAGATAGCCTCAGGTGCAGCTCAAGGACTTGAATATCTACATGATAAGGCCAACCCGCCAATCATTTATCGCGATCTGAGAACCACCAATATTCTATTAGATCGAGATTTTAATTCTAGACTTTCAGACTACGGCCTTGCCAAGCTTGCAGGTGGAGGGAATGCATCACACATATCACCAAGGGTAATGGGAACCTACGGTTACTGTGCTCCAGAATATGAAAGATCTGGTGAACTCTCTTTCAAGTCGGATATATATAGTTTTGGAGTTGTTTTACTTGAACTTATTACAGGGCGTCGTGCAGTGGATACTACAAGGCCTGCAGAGGAGCAAAACTTAGTTGCTTGGGTGAGCATTGTTGTATGTTCTCGCTAGTGTAACTAAAAAGAAGTGGTTTGAATTTGACTAAATTCTAACTGATTATGAAATGTGTGATTGAATAGGCACAGCCCATTTTCAGGAATCCAAAAAGGTTCAGAGAAATGGCAGATCCACTTCTCAAAAACAAGTTTCCTGAGAGAAGTTTGAATCAAGCAGTTGGGGTTGCAGCCATGTGTTTACAAGAAGAGCCGTCAGTCCGCCCCTTGATCGGTGATGTTGTAGCTGCTATTACTTCCCTTGAAGTGGCTCCACCAGATGAACCAATTCCTGAATCTTTGTCTCCTGATAAAGACAGTTCAGATACAGAGATTTCAGATGATTACGAGCCAAAGAGTTCAGATAATGAGGATCGAAGCTGCGAAAATGATCAACAAAATGATGAAAATGTTCATTATAATAAAGATCATCAAAAAGTTGCTGACAGTGATGAGGATGATAGAGCAAGTTCTGATTATGGATATGGAAGCACATCAGGATCTTCAGAGAATGAGAACGAAGGAAGCACGTTTGAACGTGGAGGGATGACAACAAAATCTGGAAAATGGGGTTCCAAATCAAGACGCAAAAGCAAGTTAAAATCCTCCTCTCGAACTAACAGCTCAAGTTCAAGACGCAAAAGCAAGGTTTTAAGAGATGCCACAAAAGACCCTCAAACGAACGATTCATTCAATTTAAGAGATGACAAAATCCATTTCAGTTTAAGGCAACAAAGCAGCGTAAAGTCCAAGGATGTAAGTTTTGGAGCATATTCAAGTCATAGCAGCAATGAGGAATCAGAAAGCGAAAGTAATGGTTTAAATCACCAACACCATGTGCAATTAAAACATGAAACCATGCCTCAGAAATTAAAATCCTGATATCTCTTTATCATCAAAGTACATGGACTTATGTTACCATGGCACCTTTCTTCATCTGAGGTTTCAGAATAAGAGTACACAATCACACAGTGAGCTCTTTTAAATTATAATTATGGACAAATTTGTATGCGAAGCAGGTATCATATTTATATTTTTGGTATTACTATAAGTTTATGGATATCTGGCATTTTCATTCAATACAAGTCCTAAAAGGGGGTTACTTTTCTGTAGCTAGCATTAGACTTGTCGTTCATCCCAAAAACCTTAAAAGTCATTTATGGGGAATATTAAAGCTTCAGATGAGCCAGTTTCATCGATCAACTATTTTCTAGTCAAATATTTTTAGCCAGCATCTAGTGCTTTCAATCAAGGCAAAGGGAAGGGGGTGGTGCCATATAAATTCTACATCAATAAAAACTTAAAAAGTAAGGAAATGAAAATTACTGGATTGAAGTTTTTGGGGCCAGAAGAGAAAAATGAACAGCTATTACGTTCAAAGTGAAATTCTCAGAAGTTGTAAATTGGGGAGTATTAGAAATGTTACCAAGACTATGTATCAAGAAGTATTATCGTATATAGGAGAATATAACTCAATTTGCATATTGAAAAACTAATTATACCTTCCAAGCATACATCCCAAGAAGTATTATCGTATCCACCGACCAGACAATCGCAAACAATTTCCAGAAGAATGGCAACTGTAATATTTAGCAGAGCGATGAAGAGAAACAGATAATTCAACTCTTCTTTTTCATTCTTTGAGCAGTTTCGAGCCCGAAGAGAAGGAATTGCTGCAAATAATAGGAACGAACTTATTACAAGTGAAACGTTTTTATCCAGGTCCGGGCAAAAAGGATAAAGTTTTTAAGGAAAAGGGAAAGATGTATATACAAATTTATGCCTCTTAAAATTGGTATTTACAAAATCAGGAGACATTCTATATGTTTTGAATTTAAGCTTCTTTATACCATAAGCAAAATTCTAGCACAAATTGTAGTACCAATAAAACATTGCAAATGTGTGTTATTTACTACTTTTCCTTAAAGTAAATAAGCAAAAGATGAGCAATATATATCTAGTTAAGAGAATCGATCATAGGGCCATATATCTTCATGTGTTACTTATAGCTAGGATTTAGGCTTTAGGATTAGTGGCATATCCCAAATTTAGAAGTTATGAGTTCTGAAAGGATAACGGTTACTTATTTTTGAAACATATATATAACTATATAAAGTTTGATCTCAAAAAATCGTATTTTGTTGAATTCACAAACTAATTGTCGGGCATAGATGTATAGAATTCAATTGTAGACTTCATCTTATTACTCCAACTAATACTCAGACATCATTATCAATCTTTAATACTTGAAAATTTCATCAAAACTATTCGATTTGTATGATTTTCGTAAAAACAAGCATAAAATTATCTTTCGTGCATAATCACAGCAGAAACTATGGGACATTTCTTAAGGAAAAGTTGTTTAGTTTTTTATCATAGGCACTTGAGTAGAGTCACCAATAGCATACATGAGAGAAATACAAAATAAAACAACCTATTTAGGATAGGATAGGATTTTTCCTAGGTAATCAAACCCCAATATGAAACAAACAACCCTTGCACCTTTTTCATCTCTCATGCATTTTTATTTGCATCTATTTCACATTAATTTTGATAAAATATCTAGCACAAAACTGTGTTTTCAGAATTCAAACACTGCTACCCATATTATTCGATCTCACATATTTTTGAAATTGCATAATATTTTGTCTTTTTTGAGTTCTCTTAATTCGACTACAAGAAAATTAGGAGCCTCATGTAAAATTTAATACTTCAATAATAGTATGATTTAAAATAAATCACGGTGCAATAGTGTGATTATAGGACTTGAATAATCTGTCAATGATAAAAAATAAAAATAAAAATCTGTCAATGAAATTATAATGAATAGAAGAAGTGTACCTATTGGTATGGAATGTTTTAATTCCTTGGTGTGTCTACACGCCACGTATTTAGAGTAGTGAGACTATTAAACTTCACATACCAGAAGGGTAAACAAAACAAATAAAAAAAAAAGCAGATTTGTCATTTATGGAAACATTATTTTGTATCAAACTAATATGAATAGAACTTTATTTTCAAGGGAACAAAAGTAGCCACGCATCATATTAAGAAATACTTTGTTCTGAATCTTAATCATTCGGAGGTCAACCAATAAGTATGTTTGTTTTATAAGCCTTTTAATTTTTCAAATCTTAATTTTTAAGATTTGGATAATTAAGATATGTAACAAAGCATGAGTCGCTGAAATTGAAAGATTGAATTCTTCTTTATGCTCTTCTTTCTTTCCTTTTTGTTTACCATTAGTCACGTGCAGCGGCTATGAGTATAGGCGTACGCAAAAAAATTATTAAGTGGTGTCGAAAGTTTTAAAAGAACGGAAATAAATAACTTTAGTTATCATATTTCTAAATAAAAAATAACCCTAGACCATTGATTTTATTGAGTCCTACGTAAGAAAAGGTCTGACCTATTAGGGGCAAAATCAAACACATAACCAACACGCCAAGTGACAATTTGTGTGAAGTGGTGTCATTTTGTTTCTACTTATTCGTTTCCTCACAGTATTAATACATATATTTAGTAAAATTTTCCGACAAAGCGGTGTCGTTAAAGGTGCATCCACCCCTCAGTATAGACGTTACATCACTGAACATACATGTTACAAAGTGATGTTAATGTTGAGGTACGTTGTAGTTTGTGATCACTCATTTGTGGAATATTAGGAACTTAAAAAATCATAATTATGAAGTAGTCTTAATGACTAGCAGTTTGAAGCTTTAAAAACATTTTTATTTTTAGGAATTCGGTTCTATCGCCTTAAGTAACGCTCAATTTACTTTTTCAATTGGAAAGAAATATGCACCAGTACATATTTTCAAGTTAATTAAAGAAAAACACAAGTTTGCTTTAACATACAAACGAAATAGGTCACATCACACATGGTAAGCTCCAGCTAAGTGATGTTTCAGAAAGCTCCCCATATCAATAAACAATTCACCTCATAAGCTCATATTATCAAGAATTTGTATCACATTTTGCAAGGGAATAAATAGCTTTTACCAGCCTTGAGTTGTTGATGACATTTGGTTTTGATCCAAATCCTAATTTAAAAACTCGAGTAGGAACGAATAAGTTCACAACATACAGCTACTGCAAATAGCTAAAATAAGAATATGTAAATCAACTGATTGCAACAATTGGCAAAAAAACTACTACTTGATTTCAGTTAACCTTGCTCTCAAGAAATAGCCGAATACCAACCTTTTGTACAAGCTAAACCATTGTTAAACTATGAAATCCCAACTTAAGCTAAACATCTTACATTACAATCATCCGATATTGTCTCCTCTGATGAGGCGTCACTATTGATGACAACTAGCTCAACTCTTTTATTGGCCTCTGACTTACAATGTTGCTTCCCCTCTCTCATAGGCACTGCTGGTAGATGAGCATGATCAGCACTGCCATTATTCAGCTCAGTTCTTGGTGAAGTGTACAAGTCGCTTAATCTGTTCCTTGATTCACAATTAGCTTTGTTAGGTTCGGGAAAGGGTAGATGGAAAATCCATGAAGAATCTGGGGGAAATCCAGGAGGCCTCGATGGGATAGCAACCACTTCTTTAAGCCAGTGAGGCAAATTACCCTCTTCAGACACTCTGTTCATAATACCAGAACTGAATGAACAGTCAACACCCGAACCTGCAAAGTTTTCGGATTGATTAAACCTAGCTCTTTCGCGTTTTCCCCTATGACAGAGTGAGTCTAAGGTCCCTACGTTTGTTGTAGCCAGGTGAAGTAGTTTGGACGAAGTATTTTGAACATTTCCAAAATGAAAAGGTATTTGGCTCTGGATGTCCTCTGACTGCAAATATGCATGCCCAAGTGAAAGTCGAACATCATCCGTACCATGGGACAAAAGATCAGCTTTTCGTAACTGTCCCACAGGGGAAATGGATTTTCCATGTAAAAGTTTCGATTGTTCCTGCACCCACTGTTCTGCCAAATCCCTTGGTGTCCTCCAGGAAAAGAAGTGCAGCCTTGGATCCCTCAACATTACATCCCAGTTACCTCTTCCATGCCTCCTCACACCAATCCAAAGCGAGTCTAGCTCCTCTTCTGACCACATTGTTGGAGACTCAAATATTTCTGCAAATCTCCTCCTATTTCTCTTCTGTGATTTTGCTCTATTAAGAATGTTGTCCAGCATCATTTGATGTCGATGAAGTAATGACGCATCAAAAGGAAACTGAGGAACTCCTTGAATAATTTCCCTTGGTTGATACCACATATCAGCCAACTGTGACGAGCTTGAAATTAAAGCTGGACCACTGACCATGGATTCAGTTGGCAATGACAAACCAAGAAAATCTGAGGATTCCGCTACAGTAGACCCACTATGCTTCTTGTCTTCTGACAAGGAAACTTTTCCTCCTCCTTTAGAATTCACAGGAGCACTCTCATTTTCCTGCGTGCTTGCTAATGGGAAAAAGTTGTAGGTTCCATCTTCCCGAAAAAGCTGAAAGCAAACAATGCATCTCAATCAAACATCAAAGACACTTCATCGGAAGTAGCACAGATTTACTGAAAACTGGTATAGACTTTTAATGAGGAGCAGTTTCTATACAACTGCACTCTTATATCTACCTGCGGTAAATTATTTATTGAAGCAATGCCCTCACTACAATCAGCCGTTGCTTTTCCAGGTAAGCAACCAGCTTCAGGTACCTCTGCTTGAATTGGAGATATCTTCTCCGGTTTGTTGTCAAGTAATTCCAAACTTTTGTCAGAAGGCACCTTCTGTAAAAACGTAGAAACATTTTCATTCAAGGAGCAAGGAGGGTTCTGCTGAACTTCTTCTGCCATTGGAATAAGGTGTTCATCGGATGCCTGTTCTGACATACTACTGCAATCGATTTTGTCATCACTATCTGCACAAGGTGATTTAAAACAAAAGCATACTGAGACACAGAATTCATGACCACAAGCTCCTACAAAAACATACATCTTACATTCGACAAGGACAAAACCAAATAAAAATACATACTGTCACAAGGAATGGACAAATCTATAGCTCGGGAACCTCTGTCACTCGCAAACTCTAAGGGAGACGATATTGGTACTTCTGTTCCGGATAAAGCATCAAAAGATGGATCCTGAGTGGTATGAAATGATGAATCCTTGACAGCATCTGAAGCAAAACGGTTGTCAAAACCAGAGAAACCTATTCCAGAATTTGGAAGAGCTTCTTTACCGATTGGTGAGGCTTCCTTGACTGAGATAGGCTGTTCATTAACATCTATCAATCTGTAAAAGCAAAATCCAGGAAATAAGAATGAACATTTCCAAACAAGAATCTTTCATTAAACCTGTCTCCTCGCTTCACCATAAGGCAGGAGTAGAAGATAGTTAAGCTTACATCTTCATCCGCGAAGTTGATCCAGCACAAGAACATTGATAATGGTCACCTCCGCTGGTTGTCTATAACAAAATAAGAGACTTTGTTAACATTGTAAATTACATGATTTTCCAATAGAAATAATCAACAAGTCCGGGTTCATCAGGTCTTGGTTGGACAGCAAAGATGAACTGAGCAGCAAGCAGGTTCCAAATGAGTTATCAATGCCTTCACATAGCTTAACATGTCAAAAGGAGAAACAATGTATCCAGTTTGAACAAGACGCAGAAAGTTTATTGTCACACAAAGTGAAATTGTCTCTCAAAATACAGAACATGTAGGCCAGATATTTGCAGTTATAGAAAAGCAATTATGTGTACATAATCCTTCTGAAACTAATTTTACTTGAGCTTGTCTGGACATAGAAACAGAACTTTTTGTTTTTGCACACAGTGGTTTTGTTTTCTTATCCAAATATTCTTGCTTTTATGGTTCTGGAAACAAAACAAACACAAAAAAAATCTCGAAATTATTCAAAAATCATCTCCCAAAACCAAATCCAAACATTCATAGAAAGAAAACAAAAACAAATTAGACAACAAAACAATATTAGCTACAAGTCTAAGTGCCCTCGTATAAAATAAAATCCAGACACCAATTTAATACCCAATACTGCAAAGTTCAGCAGAGACTAGATAAAAGTTTTAGCTTTAATCTGCATGATCATGGTTAAACATATGACTTCATCAACTAAAGAGCTAAGAACTCGCACAAAGAAACATAGAATATAAAGTTTGTAACATTTGAAGGAAAAATGGAATGGGGAGTAGAAATATTTGTGTCATGTATTCAAAGTAAGAGCCTTGAGAAATACTATGACTGTCCTATAAATGCATAATATATTTGTTAGTTTTTTCTGCCATTTTTGCTCTTTTAATTAAAGAATACAAATCACTATAAAGTTGATTAGGAAAAATATGAATCATCAGCATTGATCTCCAAAAACTGGTAAAATAGGTTTCACATGGTCTCTGAATTACTCTCAAAAGGTTAACATGGCTCCCTTTCAAATATAATTTAAACGTCAACTGACAAAAGTTTCCTTCATTCCTAGCAATAAGTATCATGTCCTGGGATAAGGATTAACCTCCGAATGCTTAGAATCTGCTGAACGATCCAAAGAGCAGCTCTTAGCAACTGATCCTTCAGAGCCATGAGGAGCAACAGGACATGCAGTATTTACAACTGATAAACAAGCAGCTTCTTCAACTTTGAGCTCGAACTTTGCCTCTGCTCGACCTGCATCCTTGTCCCGCTTGGCTCTCCGCTGAAAAGTAATCAGACCGGAGGCCAACTTCCTTTTTCTTACTGCATTTACAGAGAGGCTCTGAGAGATGTCTTTTACTGTGTCAGCTTCTTCCAGACTCAGTTTTCCCAAATCAGAGGTATCACAATACTGAAGATTGCATCTCTTCCCGTCACCAGAATTTGGAGTGACCAAATCCTGTTCTTTAGAAGTATTCAATCCTGTCAACGGGGAAACTGAAAACTTCTGGGTGCATTTACTCTCACATCCACAACCTGAGGTACTGCAAGAACATAATCCCCTGTCTGAACTCCTAGGTTCTCCTTCAGAGGGAGGCCCTCTGGAACCCTTTGAAGAGTGAGCTTCTTCAGAATTATCCTGCAAAGATAACAGCAATGAAGCAACTTAGGAAGTTTATAACTAAGACACCTTTGTTAACATCCGGAATCATAATCATGTAGACGCAAGAAGAAAATTCTTTCTATGAAAACCACAACGCCACCAAAAGCCACATTAAAGCTCAAAATCTCGTGCTCAGTTTGACTAACAGTCAAAGTCCCTAAAAGGTTGTACTAAAGTCCCCCAAAAAAAAATATTATATAAGTACAAACTAATTTCAATAGCAAAAGATCATCGAGATGCAACCATGTTCAATCAGTTGTCTCTGTGTTGACCTTCTGTCAGTAACCACAACGGAAAAAAAAGAGGAAGGGGAAGGGGTCGCCCAAAGCCGTGGAGATGGAAGATAAAAAAGCTATATTTATAATAATAAAGAGAATCTATTCAAATTCATATTCGAAAACAACTTCTACTTGTCACAGGGATGGCTTAATAAAATTGGTGGCCCAAAACCAAACAAATAAGAGGCCCAATGTTAAGAAAAGGTTTTAAAAAAAATTATGTATTTCTATTTGAAGTCTATTTTTCTAGCTTTATGAGATGCAAAATCTAAGCTTTTCGATAGCGAAGGCTTTTCCTTTGTCATCCCTCTATTTTTTTTGTTTGCTTCCCGGAGATGGTTTAATCATCCTTTCTAAATCTACAAATACTGTTGGCTTTCTTTTCTATATTTCTCCTCTGTTTACCAGTATGGAAGGAACGAAACAACAATGAAAAAAAATGATGATGGCAGTAGCTATTAATAATAAATAGTTAATGGGGCCTCAATAAATCGGGGGCCTAAAGCAGTTGCTTCAGCTGCTTGGCCCTTCAGCTGGCACTGGGCACTTGATGGGGAAAAAATGTAGAAGAAGAAGAATACTGAGGAGCACAAGGTGTCCTTTTCTTTTGGAACATGTAAAGTGGTGTATTATAGCACAAAAATAGAAACCCGGCACAAAGCTAGTGCCTGGATAATTACAAAATTCAAAACCCTTCTGTAGTAAAAACAAAAGGAAGGTTTCCAGCAGAATAAGCTCCTATTCCTGTAGTGAGTCTATAGACTATACATACTGTGTTCATCTTTATCATCTTGTAAGTTGCACCAAAAGCCAAAAGCCATAAGCAGTTAAGCACTTGAATTTAATCTTCGGAACCGGTTTTCCCTTCGAAGCATCTAGCATTTTTTCCTTCCATATAACCCAACACACGCAGCTTGACACTGTCTTCCATGCTTTTCTCACCGGTTTCTTCAATCCTTCCACCCCCCAGCTTGTCAAAAGATCCTTCACTGTGAATGGCATAACAAAGATGAACTCTAAATAGGTTTACAAAAAGGATCGTTCGAGTAAATCTGAAGATATAAAAGGACGAAAGCTGGAAACAAGAAGTGTGCGCCAATCACTCTGGAAATCAATTTGAACCACTAACTTCCTGTATCATGGGACTAATTATGCTTTACTACCTCCAATCCACAAACGGTGACCTATTTTACATCGGGAGAGCTGTAGATCTAGAGATGTTACAATAATAGTACACTAGAATTGGATAGAGAAGTACTAAAAATATTAGGATAAAATGTGGAATGTTTATAGTAGTATTTTAGGAAAGATTTTAAATGGCAGTGAATCTAAAATGGAAAGTCAAGTCACCTAGTATGGAGGGTGCATAGACTTAGTTAAAAACCTCCAACACTACAATTAGGTATAGATTTTAAATTAAAAAAAAGGAAAAAACACTACAACTAGGTATAGATGTACAGTATTGAAGTGAAGCAACAAATCTGAGATGCGGCAAAATAGATTGCAGATGCAGCACCTGTTGCTCCTGAAGAACACCCTATGCTACTTAGTGAAGCACCTCTGAACTTCAAGGCTAAATGGAGCGAAAACAACCTAAATCATGTTTGAAATGCCACATATATTTCTATTCAGGCAGTCTTGTCTCTTTATGCCAGTGGCCGTACAACAGGTACTGGTGAATGGTGATGGTATAACACACACAGTGCCAATTTATGTATGCCCTTCCCATAGCAATCCTTTAACTGGATCTTGCTGGTCGTGATCTTGATGAAGATCCTAATGACGAGACGATACTTATTCACCAATAGTGCTGAGCAGGAAATTGTCACCGATGTGAAATATAAACTAGCATATCTGTTGTTGAGAAAAGCTACAAGTTACCAGATGGCCAGGTAACCAGGTGATTACAATTGGAGCACAGAGGTTTAGATTCCCAGAAATCTTGTTCCAGCCATCAGTCAATTGGAATAGAAGCTACTGGAATCTGTGATACAACTCACAATTCCATCATGAAGTGTGATGTTGATATCAGAAAGGATCCTTAAGGAAAAATCGTTCTCAGGGATGGAACCACGTTGTTTCCTAGTATTGCTGATCGTACGAGCAAAGAAATAACTACCCTTGCTCAGTGTTGTCAAAGGCTCATTTGAGGCGCGCTTTAACCATGAAGCTCAAAAAAGCTCAGGGTATGCGCTTCTTCGACTTAGACTGCGGTTTGGTGTAGGCAACGCACTAAGGTACATGTCTCATTGCCCATAAGTTCTATTTTGAATAGAGCGGTACAAAACAACAAATCTAATTGGCAAAAAGATATATTAATTGTTAAGGAAATCATTATGAATGAAATTGTTACTCTTTTTTTTTTTCTTTTTTTCTTTTGCATTACATATACATTTTTATTTTTTTCTTCGTTGCGAATTTCTAAACTAAAGCCCACACTTTATTGCGCTTTGTGCTTAATGCCCTGATAGACCTGGAGCGCTTTTTAACCTTTTTTGTTGTTTACATCACTGCCCTTGCTTCGCAGCATGAAGATCAAGGCGGTGACACCTCATGAAAGGAAGTATAGTGTGTGGATAAGAGGATCAATCTTAGCTTCTCACAACACCTTCCAACAAATGTAGACAACAATGTGCGAATAATGTCCCCTTCCATTGTTCATTAGAAATGCTTTTAACTAAAGGGTGCTTTTGCAAGCTGGAAGCTATGGATATTGAGGAAAACGTTAGGAACGCATGGAGAAGGATATCTGCTTGTGTTTTGTTGGACATAGTAACAAATTGGATGCCATGAAGAAAATTTGGCATCACACTATACAACCCTACACTTTTTCTTTTGTGACGTTAGTGTCCGGGCCAGTATACGCATACCCTGACTATTCTATCGAGTACTTGCTACCTCCCAATAGCACACTTACCAGGTAACTCTAGCTACCAAGGCTTAGACAGATGGGAAGAAATCACCTACTCCTCCATCCCAATTTGTGTGGCATACTTTCCTTGAGAAAAGGCCCAAAATAGTCCAGTATCTTTGGACTTTAACTCAAAATAATCCTATTTTTTTTCACATGGAGCACTAATAGTCCACATTCTTTAATAAAGTGGTACACTTTTAGTCTCCATCCAAGCTTCTGTTAGGTTTTTAACGGAAAGAACCTCACATGCCATATCATATGAGATTTAATTTCTTAGAAAAGAAAAATTATTCTTTTTGTTGAGCAAGAACCCGATCAAACACATTCTTCTCCAAATAGCCAAAACCCTGCTGCATAAGTCATGCTCAATCAATTTGTCTAATGCAATTTGGTAATGTGTGTAGTTGAAGTTGTGCACTTTTTCTTCTGATTATGATATTAAATTAAATAAAGGTAGGGAACTTCCGGTGGGCTGTATGGAATTGCATCTTATATGATTCTTGTTATCTTTTGAAGTTGATAATTAAGAAAAAAAAATCCCAATAAATAAAAAGAATAACGAGGATTTTACACACAGTACCTATAATAAACATAAAATCTAAACTGGACAAATAGCAGTTCCCAGCTTGCAAGTTGCAAAGCTCTCACGAGAAGGGGAAGGGGTATGATAGTGCATTCAAGGTAGCTTCTGATTACCATCTCCAAGATTTACCACAGTGTACATAACCATGATAAGAAATTAAGGTTGTTAAAAGGCTATACACATCAATGAAATTCTTGATAAAACAATTTAGGAATTTTTCAGTTAAATGCTAGTTCAATAACATGGCATCTCATAATTATTAACGAGCAAAATAAGAGGAAGAGCACGAAACTCAAGAATGCAACACCTACTGAATGATCACTTGAAACGTCTTCGATCTGCTACTACTGTACACTTTTTCAAACTAAAGAGTAACTCGACAAGATTAATAGTGTAGTAGTATTTGTTTTCTAAGGAAATAAATCTCATATGTTGGCATGTGAGGTTCTTTCCGTTAAAAAACTAATAGAAGTTTTGATGGAGACTAAAAGTGCACCATTTTATTAAAGAATGTGGACTATTAGTGCTCCATGTGAAAGAAATAGGATTATTTTGAGTTAAAGTTCAAAGATACTGGACTATTTTGGATCTTTTCTCTACTTTCCTTTCTAGTCTGTCCCAAAAAGAATATCATCTTTTCATATTTAGAAATAAATAACTTTATACTTCCCATGTTACCCTTGATGAGATGAATTATAACCACATAAATGTTTATAGCTTATTCAAGGCAAGTTTCACAAATCTTTCTTTCTTAGACTCGGTACCTAGTCAAACATTGTCACATAAAATGGGATGGAGAGAGTAATATTTTTTGCCTCTGCTAGGATTTGAACCTCTAATGGCTATCCTCCAAGTTTATTGACCATTATGCCACACCCTTGGGTGCTCCCTATACTACCCTTATACTACCCTTTTCTACTTACTGAATCACCTCTGAATCCCAAGGCTAATAGAGAGAAAATGATCCAAATCATGTTTGAAACTTTCAATCTACCTAACCTGCACGTCATTCGGGTAGTGTTGTCTCTTTATGCCAGCAGTAATACATCAGGTATTGTTCTTCATTCAAGTGATGGTATGAAACACACAGCACCAGTTACAAGAAAGAGTAGCTCAAGAGGAAAGCCCCTTTTGGAGGTTCGAGTCACCATGTTACTATTTTTTTAAAAACAAATACTGTGTCAATTTATGAAGGTTATGCCCTTCCCATGCAAGCTACCGAATCTTGTTGATCGTGATCTTACTAATTATTAGATGATCCTGACAAAGAGAGGGGATTCATTCACTACTAGCGTTGAGCAGGAAATTGTGTACAATGTAAAAGAGAAACTAGCATATGCTGCTCTTGATTTTGAGCAAGAGTCGGAGACTACAAAGAGTAGCTCTCTATTGAGAAAAGCTACAAGCTACCAGATGCTGCTAAGGTGATCACTATTGGAGCAAGAAGTCTTGTTCTTGCCATCACTCAATGGAATATAAGTTGCTGAAATCCATGAAACAACTAACAATTTGTAGATTTTGAGAGAAAGAAAAGGCTTCTTGTATGTGTGTTTTACATCCCATGAGCAAGGGAATTTATACAAAGCTCTAATGCTAATTAAGGAAATAAAATAAATCTATACAATCAATACAACTACCAAATCAAATCAAATCAAATCTCCTAAATATAATCAAATCTCCTGAAATTGCTAATCAACAATCCCCTAAATATAATAAAATCTCCTGAAATCATGCTAATCAACACTCCCCCTCAAGTTGTGGTGCAAAGATGTCGCACATGCCCAACCTGCATTGTTTGGAAAGTTCGCTCGCTGAGATCTTTGGTAAGCACATCAGCTAGTTGTTTTTCCGATGGCACATGAAACAAACTCAAAATACCGGTTGTAATTTTTTCTTTGATGAAGTGTCGATAAATTTCCACATACTTTGTTCGGTCATGCTAGACTTAGGGATGGCAAATAAGACGGGGTGGGGCGAGGCGGGTGAAGCTTTGCCCTGCCCCGTTTAACAACTTTTCTTTTTTTGACCTACCGCCCCGTTTAGCCCTCCCCCCCCCCCC